TTATCTAGGACATGCACATCATAATATAGAGTTCATACTATAGATTTTTTTTGTTTGAGTTGATAACAACATTCTCATATTAATTATTATTTATTGATATTTTTTTTTTTCAGGGATTTCAGTACATTTTTGTCGTCCATGCTTTCAAGGTAAGTTTTTTTTGATCATTCAACTATTTTACTAAATGTTTAACCTCATGGATCAATTATTTTTTTTTTGCATGATTAATTCGAGTATTTGTACAAGACCTTCAGCAGTGACAAGTTTTTTTTGTGTCTTGACGGCGATAATTCCAATCAGATCAGAATTTTCATTTCCTTTTTTTTTACTACCAGGCGAGGTTCCTTAATTGTGACGTGACGTGTCCATGTTGTTTTTTTTTGCTTTTCACTCGAGATCCACTGTGGCAGAACGGCTCTTTCTTGATGATTTTTTTTACAATTGATTGTAAAATTGTTTTTGTTTGTTTTTTGTTTGTTCGTTTTTTTTTTTTGTTGTTGTTGTTTTTTTGTTTGTTTTTGCGCAAACATTTTAAGTATTTTTTTTTTATTACTGCTCCCTTGACGTGTTTTTTATATAGGCGAAGAAGATATGTGTGATTTCTGTCCAGACGAATTCCATACAGACGTCTTCCGACGAGAGCATAAAATTTTTTTTAACCCAAAATCYGCTGCCCATCACTCAACGTCAAGYCTTTTAGAWAATTTTTTTTATTTGTCATCTCCCGTAACCCTGAATAAGGAAGCCCTGGTTCAAAATGATCAGCCAGAAAATGAAAATCCTGATCTATCAGATAGCGAGGAAGAWGAAAAGGTTTTTTTTGAGCAAGAAGACGCGCCGAAATTGCTTCCGCATTCGGAGGAAAATCGTGACGATTATCACCACATGAAAACACCTTCGATTGAAGGAAATCACATCAAAGAATTTTTTTTCTTATCACATTTGGTTGATGATGATGATTTCAATAAAGATTTTAGCGTTTTTTTTAAATGGAAATCTARYGATTTGGARTTTGGTCGAGGTAACTGGAAAGACGACGAAAAGAACTACGCCGAATACAAGTATGATGACAATGACTTTGCGGTGAATTCAAAAGGTAAAACTTCCTTATTTGGTCATCTTATCACTTCAGGGTAGGAGGCTGTTTTTTTTTGTTTGATCCTTCTGAAGTGTTTTTCTGGTGTAGGTTTTTCGTTTTGTTTTTTTTTCAAACAACGTCGAACAATTGCAATTTATTATCATACAATTTTCTTTTTTTTTTTTGTCATTCGTTTAAGTGTCATATGTGGTAATCTTGCCTTATTTGGAATTTTTTTTGGTCTCGCTTGGGCAATGTTCTTCGCGATGTTTTAACGTTTGAATCGTTTTTTTTACGCAGATATTAAAGCGAAAAGACCTTTGACCAATATGGCATCTTGTCTGCTTCCATATACAGTACCTCTCGCCTTACGGACAACTTACCATTAGGGATACCTTTTTTTTACATACAGGRAAACTGAATCCCGGGCGAGAAATACAAGGAAATGGCTTTTTTTTTCTSTCGTTAATAATGACTCTCGCTACTGCGGACACTAAATTACGGTCTTTTTTTTGTCCGTAATTGTGCAAGTTGACTGTATGGCATAGATTCAGCAAAGCATTTTTTTTACTAAAAGGCAGAGGGATACACACATATGACAATAGTTCTTTGATATTTTTTTTTTGTATCTCCATAGAATGTAAAGACTATTCTGATGAGTGCCAAAAGTATTTTTTTTAAGGCTACTGTGCCGACTTTGCACCAACCACAGGCATTGGTACAATAAGCATGATGTGTAAGCGATCGTGTGGAAATTGTGAATCGACGGGGTATGTATACATTTTTTTTCTGACGTGTTTCAAATAACTGAACATAGAAGATAAGACCGAAAAGGATTTTTTTTAGTACGGATATTGGCAATGTGCAGCGAAGCCATTTTATGCAGCAAAGTTTTTTTTTAGTTGTAGCGCTCGTACTTTTCCAAGTCACTAAAAAAGTTCTTCGGAAATGTTTTTGATTTTTCCAAAACAAGTTWGAAGTAGTTTGACGGTTTCTACAAATTTTTTTTAAAAAAATTTCAAGGAGACATTCTAGGGGCTGTAATAAGTGTGGGAACTATAACTATCACCATGCTTTGCAGCACAAAATGGCGTCGCTGCGCRTTGACTTTTTTTTTTTTTATTAATTAAATAATACACATGGAAAAGTACTAACCAAGTAGTGCTTTTTTTTTTATTATAGCGTAGATTAGACAATAGAAAATTCTATATTTATTTGTGATTTTTTTTTTTCCAATT